GCCAGTGTTCAGAGGGAGGGTCATCAGTGTGGGTAACAAGGATGAGGAAAATACCACCCTGGGAGGATGATCTTGGCTCTCAGAATTAAAGGTATGTAACCCACCATTTGGGGAGAGCTTCATCAGCCTTTTTGAGTCACATTTGTAATGTAAAATTACTGTTTATATAACAGGTGTGGATTTAAGAAGTAATTCTAGTAAGCAAATGGGCCCTTAAAACTATTTTCTCTCATTCAGAATTTGCAAAGCATTATTTACCACTGAGACCAGAATTCAGAGAGGAGATTTGAGCCTGGGTTACCCAAAGGTGCAATGCCCCACTCAAGGGGTTGGCATTCAGTGAAGTCAGTGTAAGAGGTGCATGCTGGAGGGGTTGTCCCCAACCCATGCCACTGTCCATGGGCAGCCCTGCCTGGCTTTTGGCACTTCCAGTGAGTTTCTTGTACTTTCTTCCTTAGCCCTCTCATGATACTGTTAAAGGCTGACTTTTTCAAACTTTCCTATTGACTGTTCTCAATCCTCTTCCCTCCACCTAGCAGGTGAAGATATCACCTTCGCTGGAAAAACCTGGATTAAGATGTGGAAGTCACATGAATTTCCAGTTACCTCAGCCCCAGATGGGTCTCCAATTGGACCTGCCTTTATCTGGCCCACTGCCCAAGGGCAGCAGTACTTCAAGTGAAGCTCCAGTGTCCTGTTCTTCATTCACACTCCTCATCTGATGCCTTCTTAGAACTCAGAACCCAGTAACCTGTGAATCCTGGCATGCACAAGAGGGTCCTCTTCTGGTCATTCTTTCTGCACCGAGCAAGGAGTGTGTAGACAGGAATGTGTATCCATCTGGATCCACACCTCCTTGCTTCTATAACATGCTCTGTATATTGGGGACCCCAGAATCTCCTGCCCAAACGCTTTTGTGTGGGCTTTCAGGACCTCCACAGGCTGTGCCTGCGGGTTTGATGCATAACCCCCCAGGCCTTGGGTGAAAAGAGTATGCTACTTAGGAGAGAGGGGAAAAGGTGGACAAGTTAGATGTTTGGGTTGGGTTTCCATACATGTACATATGTCACCTCATGAGACCAAGTGGAGTAAGAGGTGAAAGGAAAGGCTTAGGGGCTGGAACAATGCTCCCTATGCTACCTCATCTAGAGCAAACATCCAGGGCCTCCCTGATGGCTCAGAGGGCAAAGACAGCACTATCAAGCTATTGCCAGCCACTGCAACACGAGTTTGATCTCTGCCAGCCAGGAAGCAACCCACATAGCATAGCAGACCTCCCTTGACTTGCCAGCTGCTCCCCTCAGCAGTGTATTTCAGTAGATCCACCTGTCCTGCTCCCCACTCTCTCTGGTGAATCTACTCACCCCACCACCTCTGGTCTACACCCCAGTTCTTGTATGCACAAATAAATAAATCTTTTAAAGAATAAATAAAAATAAATAAAACTCCAAGAAATTGGAATATTCTAACTCTAATTCTGGTATTCTGAATTATGAAGCTATGTTTACCAAGATAGAAAGGCAGAACATATTTTATTGTATAACTTACTGACCTGATTAGTGCATTTGGAGATCAAGACATATGGTAATGTAGACCTCCATAGGTATTCTTGTCCTGGACCCTGAAAATATCTGGGTTAGGCCTATTTTCAATCATTCTCTCCTTCCTGTCTTTCATTATTTCCATGCATCTGTCTGATGAAAAATAAGTAAAAAATATGCAAACAATCCCCCCGCAGCACACACACACAAACCCCACCCTGCCGGCTGCAGCGCTCTCCTTCTAGACAATGGTGGTTTAAATCATGAGACACTCAGCAGAACATCACTGAGGGCCAGCATGCCTGGAGAATGATGACGCAGAAGAAACTGTCTCAGCTCAGATGTGCCCACAACCCACAGTATTTACCACCACATGAGGTGTGATCTGTAGTGGAGGAAACAGCCTGCTGAGAGCACATCTGTGAGGCATGGCCATCTTACAGGGCAGGATCAGGGATCAGAGAAGGTGCCTGAGAGATGGTATCCAAAGAGGGAGAAGAAGTTAGTCCCACATACAAGTGCTGCTCTCACATACCACAGAGTACTCGCCAATTGCTAGGAGCCCCGCCCGCTTCTCCCAGCAGTGTGTTGGTCAAGGGTTGCATATTTCCCTTGGTTCAGAATCCTGGCAGCACACTCTGCTGCCTTCTGTGGTGGCTGTAAGTTGGGCACTTGAGAGTCTTAACTGATGCTTTAAGGTTTCTTCACAGCAAGGAGTCCCATATCAACTGCAGCAGCCATTGCTGATACAGGGAGCAGTGACTGCCAAGCTCACAGTGATGAAGAGAGGATGGTTACATGACTTCCACCCAGTAGAGCCTGACCCCAGAGAGTCACCATGTTTCCTGAGATTTCTGATAGACAGTCAAGCAGATTTTGCAAGTCTCCTTTGACAGGAGACAGCCTTACCAGCACATTATTCATTCTTACTGGAAATGAATCACTATTCATGAAACATAATTAAGTCTTAAGTAGGACCAAACCTCTTCCTGAGGCTGCTTGACTGGTAGATACCAGGGAGGACAGCAACACACCAGTGGCAGGAGGGGCAGCAGCTTTTATCAAAGGACACGTGGCATCGGTGAGGGACAGCAAGTATCACTAAGAAGACTGTAGGGGCAGGAAAGGCACAGAGCAGGTTTTCTATGATTCAAGCAGACCCAACGGGGTAAAGGAGAGTCCCAGAGCCCTCGGTGATTTTCTCAGGCTTTTATTTCACTTTTACATGTAGTGCAACAACCAGGCACACGGCAGACAGGGGTGCCAGGGGGCCAGGAGGCCTGCAGGACTCCAAGCCCCCCTGCAAGTCTTCACTCTGGCCTTCTCTGCCATTTTCTCCCCTTCTCTCTCTCTCTCTTCCATGACTCTTTCCTGCCTCTGCTCCTCTTGGTGATATATCTCAATACTGAGCCATGGCCCATAGAAGTAAACAACACAACTTATAACAAGGTAACAAATGCAGGTGCCCACCTTCAGGCATGCAATCCTAATGGTGGGAGGGCAGAAAAGCCTGAAAACCATTTATCCTACAGATGGATGAAAGCTTTTCGATGGAAACAGTATCTGAACTCAGGCAAAGGAAAGCTTTTCTAGGAGAGAATATAATGGCTGATGAATTATGAGAAAATGCAATCTAGAAAATATAGGTAGTGCCTGGCAGAGCAGAGAATGGAGTGTCGGGAATGAAGTAAAAGAAGGAGGCATAGCCCAGGTATAAAGGACCTTATATGCTAAAGTAAAAGGGCCCTTAAAAACATAGTAAAGTATCGTGGTTATTATCTGGAATTTAGATAGCCCATTTTGACAGCTGTGTGAAGGGTGGCCTGGAATCTAGGAGGACTAGGTAAAATTGGAGGCCCAAATTTGAATGAAAGAAGAGTTAAAGGCAATGCGAGGAAGGGGCAATACAGCAGTGGGGGTGGGGCTGGAGCCAGGAAACCAGTGACAACACCTATTTTCTGGCTTGGGTGGCTGGCTGGTTAGAGGTGTCGGTAATTGAGATAAAAAGTAAGGAAGACTAGACTTAGGTGAGGATAGGGATAGAATTGGGGCATGAGAAAAAACATTTCAAAACTGGTATGCTTTCTCCAGAGGAGAAAAGATTAACAATATTGTTTCTCTATCTGTTCTCTTTCTCTCAGTTCTGAGTTATTCTGTAGCCTATTTCCTTCAACTACTCAGATTGTATTAGAACACAGTAGCTTCAACTAGTTACTAGAGGGATTTTGCGCATTAAAAAAACCCCCAGCTAATCATGTGCCAATGACTTGCAAGTTACTGTGACGTGGGAAAGAAAAGTGAACAAAATACAACTAAGCTTCCCCTTATAGAATTCTAGCAAAAGCCAAAAAAAAGGGGCATTAACTAATCAATTATAAACCATGTAGTCTATATCATAAAGGTTCTAATGTATAGTGTAGTATGTGGCAAGTAACAAGGGGGAAGAGGTGTTCCACCAAGGTTCATATAGCTTTCAGCGTATTTGTGAACTCTCCGAAATCTGTATGTAAAAATTTATCCAAGCCTAGTTAAACCAAAGTCATCTGAATAAGCTGAAGATCTAATTGGCTTTAATAAAAGATTCATGAATCAGGAAAAACTGCATGTAGCTAATAGAAGGGTGTGCTCGGGAGTTGTGTACTAATAGGTTTTCATAGTCAGAAGAGGGTGAGACAAAGTTATTAGCAAAAAAATTATTTCAGGAAAAGTCACCTTGGGGGTGGGGGAGTACCTCTTTTTTTTGTTTTTTGTTTTTTTGCAGACTACATCACTACTGCTGGCCATGAAATTCCAGATTTATTGGTTTAAAATTCTACTTTTGGGAAAGGCTGAAACTACAATTAGTTTAGGTGTTAAATTTTAGTGCGGCTTGCCATAAATTATTTCATTTAAGCCTATTTCTTTTTTTTTTTTTTTAACAGGCTAGGCATTTAGTGATGGGGAGGAGAGATCACAGGCTCAAAGGGGTCAGTGATTCCCCTGAAAGGTTAAGAACCATTTTACACTTACAGTTCATTTAGGCACTGCTGAGACAGACTTATTCCACAGGAGACTGCACAGACCATGAAAGCTAGAAGGTTGGCAGTCTGTCTAGTACATCCGGAATGATGCTATCTTTACTGTTTCAGACATCAAAAGTGATCTGAGTTTTTAAGTCCTAGTTATTAAAAAAAGATGGCAAGAAGTTCTATTCTCCCAGTGTTATAGGACAGGGAGAGTCAGCTCCACCCTCCCTTGGGTGGGGCAGGGAACCTCCCCCTTTCCTGGGGACCACCCTGTTGCACCAGGAGGGGATTCTTGCCAAGTTTGAGCCCCCAGAGTATAGGAACCACTTGCTGACACCTTTCCTGTCCCATCAGAATAGACTGTTCCGGGCTCCGCGTTTTATATGCGGCCGAGAGATTCAGGCACTACTTTGAGACCCGGTTTTCGAGCTGAAGTCCAGGCCGGGTTTTCGCGCATCAAGACGGAAGTAACGGCGCGCCGGAAGTTCAAGGCCAGCACCGGGAAAGAAGTGGGGCCGGGGGGAGGGGAAAACGACTGAGGGTAGGAATGGCGGCCCAAATTCCAATTGTGGCCACCGCTTCCACTCCGGGGATAGCTCGGAACAGTAAGAAGAGGCCGGCCAGCCCGTCCCACAACGGCAGCAGTTCCGGAGGCTACAGCGCCGCTAAGAAGAAAAAAGTGTCCGCCTCTGGCTTTGCACAGGTACGGGGCACTCGCCGAGCCTGCGCATGCGCAGGAGCTTCCTGGGTGGGACGGGTGCGCGTGCGCGAGGCCGTGCTGCTGGGAGCGAGAGCGCATGCGCGCCCCCCCCCCGCCCCGCCCCGCCCCGGGCTGCTGGCTTAGGATGCCACTGAGTTTTCACCTGTAATTTGGACACGTGGGATTTGGTTGAAGAAACACCTGCGTTGGGCCTCCCCGGTGGCGCAGCGGTTGAGCGCTGGGTTGAGAAGCTGCCCGCGGCCTCTGCGGCGCCGGTTCAATCCCCGGCTGCTCCCCGGCCACCGGAGGAGGGTCCCACATGGCGCGCAGACCTCTCCTGCCGCCCGCTGCTCCCTTCAGCAGTGTACTTCGGTCCTTCTGCCTGCTCTGCTCCCCGCTCTGGCTCTGGTGGATTCTCTCACCCTCCCGCGCTTCTGACTGTACCCAGTGCATGTATGGACAAAACAAACAAACAAACAAATAAATAAAAAAAAAACATGCCTCTATTAAAAAAAAAAAAAAATCTTAAAAAAAAAAAAAAAAAAAAGAAACACCTGCGTTGCGTTGTCCTGGAGAGGAGCGGAGAGATGGACGGTTATTACTGACTTAGTGGAAGGATTGCCCCTTCCCTTCCAAGTTGCGTTTAGAGCAAGCTCAAGACGCCTGTGAGTTTCAGTTAAGTAGAAGTTAGCATATTACACCTTCGACCTTCCTCCAGAGTTTAGAGTGCCTTAGGTGCGGAGCACCCTAATAAATACACGGAGGAGGGCCTCCCTGGTGGCGCAAGGGGTTAAGCACCGCACTATGAAGCAAGCCGCAGCCTCTGCAGCAGGAGTTCGATCCCCGGGGCCGGCTGGCCAGAGAGAAACCCACATGGCGCCGCAGACCTCTCCTGTCTCGCCAGCTGCTCCCCTCAGCAGTGTATTTAGGTCAATCTGCTGCTCAGCTCCGCACTCTGTTTCTGGTGAATGCTCTCACCCCCTGCATCTCAGGCCTGTATCACAGCTCTTGTATGCATAAAAAAATCTTAAAAAAAAAAAAGTACACGGAGGGAATACAAAGATATATTGATACGGATGGGTTCCCTCTTCCCCCAGAAAAGTGCTTTTTTGACCCTCAGTGGGTTTGGTCTTACTTGGTGGCGTTACAGGAAATACATGAGCTCCATGGTCGGACAGCCCTGAGCACAGCACCTTGTGCAGACTTCACAGCATCTGGACAATCCAGGCCCGGCGATTCCAGCAGAGTATTAAAACAGTTAAGTTAAAAACCGTTGGAGGCTACTTCCCAAATTAGTTGCACTATTATGTAGTTTCATCAGCAAAGTATGGGAATTGCAGTTACTGTTTGTAGCGGCAGGAAGGGCACGGAGCAGGTTCTCTATGACCGGAGCAGCCAGGGGTAAAGGAGGAGAGAGTCCTGGAGCCCGCGGTGGCTTTTTCAGGCTTTTATTCAGATAACCAGGTACATTGCAGGCAGGGGTGCTAGGGGCCTGAGATGCTGGCAGGCCTCCCAGCCCCGGCCAGTTTCACTCTATCTGGGTTCTCCAGCGTTCTCTCGGGGCCTCTGCTTCTCTGCTTTTTCTCCTTCCCGTGTCTTTCGCTCTGCTGGTGTCCCCCTGATGCTGCCTTTATAAGCCCAGTCTCTTAGCCCAGGTGTGCCGGCCTACACATGGCCACACACCACTCCAGGTGCCCGCCATCTGGCATGCATTCAGGACCACAGGGTTCCATCATCAGTCCTAATGGTGGGAGGGTAGAAAGACTGATACTTTACTAACCCTACACTGTTCATCTTCAGCGACACTTGGCACTGCCAGTCTTCAATTTTAGCCATTCCAATGGGCGTGTAGTGATATCTCATTGTTTTAATTTTGTTTTTCTGATTACTAATGGTATCAGTCACATTTTCACATGGAGATGAACTATTCCACTATCTTTGGTGAAGAACCTGACTTTTTCTAATTAGGTTATCATTATTTTTAACAATCTGTGTAGGAGTTCTTTAAATACTCTTGATTGGAATTCTTTCTTTAACGCTTATTTGCATTGTGATTGCTTTCTTCCACACTGTGCTTAGTATCCAACTGTTTGTAGATAACATTTTGGTATCCAGCTGTGCCAAGTGCCAGGAATATAGTCAGTACATATTGGGACAAATGATTGTTTTGACCTTAAAGATAGCTTAATCACCTCCCACCACAGCAAACTTCAAAGGGTGACCAAGTGCCTCCAGGATGCAGGTAATTCCCAGTAACTCAGTGTGTTGGAAATCACATCTCTGTTGGCTTTAGAGGTCTAAGGACAAGAGCTGCCTAAGTACCCCCTGCAGCAGCCTCAGCAAACCCTTAGGCTGGAAAGAGTAGGTCATTCTTGGAATAGTGAATTCTTTTCTTTGCTCTCCTTCCCAACTGGGATTTAAGTAATAAGATATATAACCAGTTACCCTACTCACACCCTCAGCGTCCTGTGAGTAATGAAAAAACTGCTTCTCACTCCAGAGAGGAGTCTTGCATTGCTTTGCTGCTCTGACATAGCCTTCCGTTCTGGCTCCCTGGTCCACAGCATATGCAGGCATTAATGCAGTGCTGCCTGGAATCTTCATGGATCTTCCTTTATCTGTGTCTCCTTCTCAGCCTTTCTGTTCTGTTTCATTTGAGTTTAGTCAGCAAGAATTTGTTGTACTGTGTTGCTTTTATGGCTCTAGCCTTATGCTTAAGACATTTCAAAGATTATAGCTTGTTCCTGTCATCCTAAAACCTCCCAGGAAGATTGACATACATTTATTGTAAGCGTTTTCTATTGCTGTTGTAACAAATTACCACAGATTTAGTGACTTAAATAACAGCTTTTTACTAGTTCATGTTTCTGTAGGTCAGAAGCCCTGGCTTGACGTCACTGGTTTGGTTTTCTGCCTAAAGTATCACAAAGCTGAATCAGTGTTGGCTGTGTGATGTCTTCTTGTTTGGAGACTGGCGAAACTCTCTTCTCAGACGTAGTCAAGGTTTTTGGCAGACTTCAGTTATTTGCACTGTAGGACTGAGGTCCCTGTGTCTTTGCTATCAGTTAGCCACTACTCGCATTCCTTGCCACGTGGCCTCTTCCATCTTTGAAGCCAGCTATGGAGAAGCTCTCAGGCTTCAAATCTTTCTGAGGACTCTCATGTCGAGTGTGAACCCAGATCTAAAAGGCTTATGTGATTAGTGTAGACCCACCTAAATAATCTCATTTGTTTAAAGTCAGCTAATTTGAGCTGATTTGGGGATTTAATTACATCTCCAAAACCCCTTCACAGCAGTACCTGGATTAGTGCTTGCTTGAATAACAGAGGCCCAGAATTTTAAGGGTCATGTTAGAATTCTACGTATCTTGTATATGAAAGAATTAGGAAGATACGGTAATTTCTAACCATGTATCTGAACTGATTATAGGTATTCTCTTGTGTTGGTGTGCTAGTGTAATGTAGCGACACAGAGGATGATGAGAACTCTCATAGGCAGAGGGGAGGTGGGAGGCAGAGGGCCTTGTGACTTTGAAAGGTGTTGGGTTTGGATGGAACAGCTTTGTAGGGTTAGAGCTGTGTGCATGTTTCAAATTGTTCAGTTTCATCATTGGGGAATGAGTTGTTTGGTTTATGTCACAATCTGGAAATTATCATCACTCATTTGCTGTTTATGATACTTTGAAAATGATTATTGTTAACAATGATTATTGTTAAAAATGATTATTGTTAACTTGGAGAACAGATATTCTGATGAAGTAAAATAAATCATGATTAATAATAATAAATAGTTTTTGAACATTTGCTGTATGCCAAGCACTGTTCCAAGCACTTTCTGAGTGTTACCTAATTCTTAAAACAACAATGTGAATCGTTATTCTCATTTTACAGATAAAAAGGCAGGGGCATAGAGAGGTTAAGTAAGTCTCCCCAAGTCACACAGCTAGCAAGTGGTAGAGTCAGTATTCAAACTATAGACTTCCCAGAGTCCATATTCATTTTTGTTTACTGCAAAGAAGTGCTTTTGGGGGAAGTTTTATTGCATCAATTATAGGGCATTTTAGACATTCCAAGTGCCTATTCAAATTGATAAAAACTACAGAGAAACCTAATTCACTATAGACTGAAATTTATGTAGTAGACTGATTTCTGATGGTAAATAAGCAGTTAACAAAACATTAATTAAGTGGAATACCAGCAGTTGTTTCTCCAGAATGTCAATGCAGAGTGCAGATAGGATGGAGTCACCTGTAATTAGAGGCAGGCAAAGAATGCTGGGCTGATTTTATTTGTTCATTTAAAAAAAAATCAACTTAAAAATTATGATAATTAAAGTTTTATAAGTTTTTTTTAATGTTTTATTTTTTATATTTATTATTTTTTTTATTTATGCATACAAGAACTGAGGTGTAGGCCAGAGGTACATGGGGGTGAGATGATTCACCAGAGACAGAATGGGGAGCAGAACAGGTGGAGCTATTGAAATACTCTGCTGAGGGGAGCAGTGGGTGAGACAGGACAGGTCTGCTCTGTCATGTGGGTCAGCTCTCTGGCTGGGAATCGAACTCAGGCAATGGCTGGCAATAGCTTGACAGTGCTGAGACTTTAACCCCTGAGCCACCAGGGAGACCCTATTTAAAAAAATGTTTTAAATGGACATGAAAATTATGCAGTTTCCTTCCCCAGTAATTAAAGTCATGTTTCCTACATGTAGATATAGTTTTTCATAATTGTATTTCATGTATAACATTTTTATTCTGCTTTCCACTTAGCGTTATTTCATGATGCTCCAAATGTTCTCTTATGTCTCTTTGGGGCCTGGGAACAAATAGCCCACATCAAAAGATTGCCCTGTATTCTTTCTCAGGAATTCACTGTGCACACATCACCTTTGAGCCTGCTCACTAGGGATCAGGGAAGAAGCATGAACAGAAAGGGAGAGATGCAGTCTTTTCACACTTCTGACATGGAAAAAAAGATCAGCGCCACTGTTGAGGATGGTCCTGTGAGCTGGGCATGTCCTGTGGATGGTTCTGTCATCACCACGGAGGCCCTGGGGTGGGTTTTCCTTCTCCTTTAGTATCCCCTTTCGCTTCCTTAGCAGTTCTGTGGGTTTGTTTTCTCCCAGATGGAAACATCATTATATAAGTAGTCATTTTCTTTATGAAAAACTCAAAACAACAAAGTTGAAACTTAGAGCGTATCTGACCCCAGGAAACTTCTTTTGCGTTCTGCCTCTTTCCCCTAAGCTGTCCCTAGTTGTCTTGTTTTGTTTTGTTTGTGGTTTTTTTTTTTTTTTTTTTTTTTTTACCGTGATGCTCACTGGGTTGTTCTTAAGGTTGTTTTTCTCTCACTTAATCTACACCACCCTGTAGACCCTGCCTCCCGGCAGCCTACACCCTTTGGCCTTTTTCACACTGAACAGGCCTGTGGTGCACCCTTTTGGATTGTTTTTAGATTCCTTAAGAGAGTGGCACCTTGCTTCCAACACTGGCAGTTTCCTCAGACCTGCACATCTCGTGTGCCTTCCCGCCAGTGGGCCTGGCTTTCTCCTGGTTTCTGAACCACCACCTCTTTGGAAAAGGAGGTGACTGTCACTTTTCTCTATGTGCTTGATGGCTCCAGCTTCCTCCTAAGTGCGGGGGAGCCCCTGGCACGTTCACTGGGTGTGATCCCTCTATCCCTCTATCTTGTTTGAGCCACCCAGTTGGTGCCATTCTATTGTGGCAACCCTGGAAGACTGATGCAAGTGTTTCTTACTTTCGGGCACCACAGTGCTCATCTTGTACTTTCTTGCCCCAACCCTGGAATCATCCGTTTCTTCAAGTCGTAATAGTTCTTTTTTTTTTTTTTTTTAAAGATTTTTTTAATTTATTTATACAAGCACTGGGTACAGTCAGAAGCGCGGGAGGGTGAGAGAATTCACCAGAGCCAGAGCGGGGAGCAGAGCAGGCAGAAGGACCGAAGTGCACTGCTGAGGGGAGCAGCGGGCGGCAGGAGAGGTCTGCGCTCCATGTGGGACCCTCCTCTGGTGGCCGGGGAGCAGCCGGGGATCGAACCGGCGCTGCAGAGGCTGCGGGCAGCTTCGCAACCCAGCGCTCAACCGCTGCACCACCGGGGAGGCCCTCAAGTCGTAATAGTTCTTAGAAAATAATATTTAGAAACCAGGATCTGAACATGGGTGTGCCCATTGTTCACTATTTCTAGTCCTGTCAATGGAGACAGGTGGGAAATACAGGTGTGTAAATATATACCCCCTTCTCACCTCTGCATCTACTACTGTGTTTATCTGTGTGTGTGTCAAAAACCACAAGGTCATATTGATAACCTGATTTCCATGTACTACCAGAGCCTACCTCTTTTCTTATTTTTCCTTCTTAGGATACATATGTAACAGTTTCAGAAATGTTAACCTGTGCCCTTGTGAAAAACAAACCTGCCAATTTCTTATGGTTCTTTTTGCCTTTAACCATAGGTTATATTGTTAAAATACCATGTTCAAAGTCACTCAAGTTATTTCTATTTTACTGTCCTTCAATATGGTTATATTTCATTCAAAATACAGTTAGGCTGATCTGTTTTTGTTTGTATTTCATTTTCTCCATCTGCTCCCCATCCTTGTTGATACTGTTGTTGTTACTATTAATTTATTATTATTATTATTATTATTATTATTATTATTTTAGTATATGAAACTTTAACATGGTTAGTCAAAATTCTGCAAAAACATATATTCAGAGAAGTCTTACTCCTCAGTTTTCCTGTCCCATTTTCCCATCCTATCTACCCTATTCCTGTAGGTAAGCAAGCCCATTCATTCTTATTGATATATTACTTTCTCTGTGCCAGGCACTGGGTTGGATGCAGGGAGACTGTGCCACGCAGTAGAGCTGGGTGTGGTGACCCTTCTGCATGCTCACTCTCTGACTCTCTCCTTCCCTTATCCACTTTCCTCTCTCCTTCTGGTCTCTTGCTCCTTGCCTGCTTCACAAAGCTGCTGTTTTATCATTGACTGAGACGTAAATACAAATTATCAGTCATATATCCAATTTATAATAGGTATTACTCTTATAAATAGTCAACACAAAATAATGATGACACCTGGCTTAAACTGCAGCAGGTGACACTGGTTATTGATTAACTGTGATGGAAGAATCAAATCCTCCTCATCAGAGTGGGTCTCCCAGGACACATGTGCCTGGCAGAAATACTGTGACCGTGAAGGAGAAATCACAAGGCCAATAAAAGTTATTTACAAAATGCTAAATCTAATCTTTGTTGTAAAATTGAAATTGACATGAACTAAGCCAATAAAGATAATTTTAGTAAAGCATAAGTGAAAATGGAGAAATTGGAATCTACCTGTGCTATACAGAAAAAGACTCAGTGGAATTTGCACCAAAAGCACAAAATAAGGGAAGGCCTGGAGAACAAAAGGTGAGGCTGGAGAGGAGGCCAGGACCTGGTCCTGATCCCCAGGGCAGTGGGAACCACTGACCAGTTGTAAGGAGGGGGTGATGACAAGCTTGTACTTAAAATTATGTTACTGAGTGCTGTGAAGAAGGAAGCGGGCGAGGTTTACTCTACAGTGTCCCTGTTCTGAAGCCTTAAGCTGATGAGGGAAAAGGCAGAAGGGAGGGCTAGTTCACCTGTGGGTACAGGAAAAGAAAGAGAAATTGGAGGCTTCTTAGTTCTTAGAGTTGATATTTGAACTTAGCCTTGGAGATCAGAAAAGTTAGGACAGACTGAGCAGGGGAGGCTGAAGTGGGGGAGGAGCAATCTAGACAGAAGAGTCTCAGACCCATGAGGAGAGACTCTAGAGGCGAGTCAGTGAAGGTGTTTGGGAAGAGACCTCAAACTTAAAGAACTATTACTGCAGAATGAATAGGCCCCGTCTTCCCTACTTTCCTCCTTTGCCATCATGAACACCATGTCAGGGCATGGGGTAGTGAGGGTGATGTGTATACATATGCTCATCCAGAACTCTGCAGTACTTACTGCTGGGAGTGTAAAAACAGAGCCATTTAGAAAAATGATTCAGGAGTTTCTTATAAAATCAAACATAACACTTACTCTAAAGGCCAACCATTCCACTCTTAGGTATTTACCCAAGAGAAGTGAAAACACTTGTTCACGCAAAGGCTTGTACAGAATGTTCATAACCGCTTTATCTGTAGTCGCTCAAGACTGAAAATGACTGAAATGTTCAGCAGGAAAATGAAAAACAAATTGCAGTTAATACAGTGGAACACTACTCTGCTGACAGTATGCAAATACAGCAAAACACACTACTGATGCAAGCAACAACATGCAGCTCAGAACTTTATGCTGAGCCAAAGAAGCCAAACGCAACAGTACCTGCTATCAGATTGCACTGCTGAAGTTCTAGAATAGGCAAAAGTAATGTAGCTATCAGAACAGAGGTCCCCCTGTGGGTGGAAGATACTGACTAGGAAGGAGTGTGAGGAAACTTTCTGGAGTGATGGAGATGCTCACTGTCTCAGTAAGAATAACAGCAACACAAGTGTAAAAATTTGGCAAAACTCATGAAACCCACACTTCAGGTCTGTGCATTTCACTGTATGTAAATTGTATGTTAATTTAAAAGTTTATTGTTGCCTGGGAAGACTGGAAATTGCATTACAAATCAGAAGTGATGTCTTCTTTTGGCATGCTTTTACTTTATGATTATTGCCTTGAAAGACTTTTTGCTTTAAAACCTATTGGCCTGCTTGGCAGCCAGGTGACCCGTGGCTCTTTAGTTTCTTTCCTTAGAGTGGTTTTAAGAACTACATGAGCCAGCTTGGCTAGGAAATCCATGGCTGTGCTTGGCACACCGGGGAGCTGAGAAGCATGTGTCGGGGGGCTGGCATGTGACTTGTAGCTTCTGCACAGCAGATGCTGCTTCCAATCTGGCATGCCCTCTGGCGCAGGCCACCTGCTGAACTCCTCTGCGCAGTGTCCCCTTTCAAGTATCTTGTAGTTATTTCCTCATGTCTTTTTGAGAGCTGAGCTATGGAATTCAGCTAAACGAAACTGACCTTGAACTATCTTATGTTTTAAGGGTATCAGCATGGAAGGCATGAGTGAGAATAAAGTGGCACCCTCTGACTTTAGCACTGGGCCTATGGAAAAAGCTGCTAAACCTTTGCCATTTAAGGACCCCAACTTTGTGGTGAGTATCTAAGGTATTTTATTGACACAAATAAAAAAGCAAACAACCATGCCTCTGACCTTGCTGGCCTGCCATCGAGGTGGCACTGGTGATCCTTCTCCATCAATACAAGTTGCCACCTTCTCTGCCATGTGCTGTTGTGGGAGGAGGGGCACAGGAGAAGAATCCTTGCTGTTCATCTCTTAGTGTGCCAGTTCCCAAGGATTTCAGCGCCCTTGTGGAATTTGTTAAAAGATAGCATTTTAAGGGCCTCCCTGGTGGTGCAGGTGGTTGAACGCAGCACTGTGAAGCTGTCCGCAGCCTCTGCAGTGCTGGTTTGATCCACGCCGGCCTCGGAGCAACCCACATGGCGCAGTAGACCTCTCCTGTCTTGCCTGCTGCTCCCCTCAGCAGTGTATTTCGTCAGTCTGCCTGTTCTGTTTCCCTCTCTGTCTCTGGTGAAGCCTCTCACCCTCCCGCGCATCCGGCTTGTACCCGGCTTTTGTATAAATAAAATAAATCTTTAAAAAAAAAACAGCATTTTAAGAATGGATCATTTTCATGATTGTTCCCCTTCCCTTTTTGTTGACCCACATAAGTTTTAGATGAGAACTGAAGGAACTAAAAGAAGAGTGCTTCTTTTTAGTTTCTTTAAGTAAATCTAAGCTATTGTGCCTTAAAGTAGAAATAGGCTGCTCTTCCTTTTGTTTTTAAAGGAGAGAATAAGTTACAGTGATTGAGATTACACCATTAAAAAGTTATTTTTCATTAGTTTTGAAAATGCAGCATTACCATTGCCTGCAACGGATATTGCTATTGTCTTCCATTTTATTGCTTCCTTATCACACAACAAAAAAAATAAAAACACAAGATTTCCAGAAGGCATGTCACTGCCACAACTTTGCAAGCAAAGTCATGCCTTCAAAGAAGAAGGCAAATAACTAAAATATAACTTTGTAGTAAATGTATTTGAAAGTAATGGGATGTTCATGAGTGAACTCCACAAAGGTAGACACAATAAAGGGATGTGATGTTAAAGAAATAGCCTTTAATTTCTACTCCATCACCAAGTAACTAATGGGTTTGGACAATCCAAAAGCTTTGTGTTTTTCTAAGTAAAATGAAAGTATATGGAGTAATAGATTTTTTAAAAGTCTTAGGAGTACAAAATGATTGTTGACAGAATGAGGGGGATATTACAGTTATGAGTAAGCATAAATGTCAGATTCTGGACAGCAGTCTCCAGTGATTCTTGTTTCTTCTGATCCATGCTTTTAATTCCAGCACTCTGGCCACGGTGGAGCAGTAGCTGGCAAGAAGAATAGAACCTGGAAGAACCTGAAACAAATTCTCGCTGCTGAAAGGGCATTGCCATGGCAACTGAACGATCCTAACTGTGAGCTGTTTGTGTGTTTATAATGTTCAGACTAGGAACTTCCTTATAACTAAATCTACGTTATTGTGTTTCCATTATAATAGGAGGCTATTTTTTTAGCTTGGCAATTTTATTGTGGCATCAATATAAGAGTTTTATGCGAATATTCCTCACAGTGTATCTGTGTTTAATCTGTTAGTGTGTGTTACAGGTGTGTGATTTTCAGTGTCACTGTTAACAGTTCAATCTGGAGAAATAAGTCCTGCCATGATAATGGTGTTTTTTGTTAGATAAGCTTCTTATTCAAAAGTCTACTCTTAAATTGTGTTTCCAAGAACAAGGTTGCCTAAAATTTAGGAGGGTTGCTAGCAACCAGTTTGAAGGCCAACTCTGTTTTTACCCTTTGAGACAGTATTTTCCAGCGTAAATACTTGATACTGCACTGTTTCCAAACCTGTGTAAAACACTGTTGTATGTTCTGTTCAACTTTACCAGGAAGTGCAGATTCATACTTCTCCTCGTCTCCTGTCCATTGCACATCTTTTATGGGGGTGACTCAGATAGGCGACAGAGCAGCTAGTCAAGTCCCTGGGTGTGGATGTCCCAGTGTCTGGATGCTCAGATCCGAGTAGTGGATTGTTTGGCATCTCATCCCTGTCAGCCCACGTAACCTGAGACAGTGAAAGTGGCTTGTGTTCCAAGATGGTGTTCTTCTTGGAGTAGAGGGTCCTTGGGGACAGGGCAGAGCCAGAGATGGGGCCTGCACTTGGCCTGTGACCTACTGCATTATTTCCCCCAGAGAGTTCTGTGAATACTTAGTCAAAAGTAAAAATTTGGGAGTTTTAGCAAACAGTATTTTAAGACAAAAGGGAAGGAATCTGAATGTTTTAGTTACCTTTTTTCTTTTTCTCTCCAGATTTTAGTATCGATGCTCCTCCATCCTTTAAACCAGCTAAGAAGTATTCAGATGTTTCAGGTCTTCTTGTGAGTAATTACATTTCTGTGTCTTATAACATTGACTTGAAAAGAAGACTTCACAGCCGTGTCCTTTTAGACAGTGTTGCATATCTACCATGCTGGCCCTCTCTGAAGCCCATAAGCTGTGACTAAGTGATGGGTTTGAGCCGAAACTTTCCCATAGTCATTTTATTTTATTTTTTTTTGCATAGAATAACTGGGGTGTAAGCCAGAGGTGTGTGTGGGGGGGGGGGGGAGGGGAGGTTTGAGAGGGTTCACCAGAGACACAGTTGGGAGCGGAACAGGCAGATTTACTGAAACACACTGCTGAGGGGAGCAGCGGGCGAGACAGGAGAGGTCTGCTGCGCCATGTGTGTCACCTCCCTGGCCAGGATCGAACTCATAACTCAAGCTGTGGGTGTGGTAGCACTGGGACTTAACCCCTAGGCCATCAGGGAGGCCCCGACCACTGTGTATAGTGTGGCTGCAACCTGGGGCACCCATGAGGTCTCCTTGCAGGGAGGGCTGCTCCAGAAAGCAGGAGCGCAGGGTTGCACTCCTCTTCCTTTGCTTGCTAACTGCAGGAGATAACATCAACTCTTTACTGATGAAGTTAAAAAATTTTCCTGCATTTTAGAGATGATTATATTTTTTAAAAAGTGAACATCTCTAAAGAGGTGTTATGTTAAACAGTGATTTTCCAATTTATTTTTAAATTTTTTTAATTTTATACATTTTTTACATCATTTTTCATTGTTGCACAATGTATGCATTTTCATCTTGGTTATAGTCCCCGTACAATTCCCACCCCCCCTTGTTTTGACCCTAATCCACCCCCCAACCCTCCCCTCCCCAGTGTGTCTCTGGTTTATAGTTGCTTGTTGGTTTTGGTTTTGTTTGTTTGTTTTGTTTTTGTTTTTTTAAATATTTATTTTATTTATGCATACAAGAATTGGGGTACAGGCCAGAGGCGTAGGGGGTGGGAGGATCCACCAGAGACAGAGTAGGGAACAGAACAGGCAGACGGACCAAAGACACTGCTGAGGGGAGCAGCAGGCGTGACAGGAGAGGGCTGCTGCGCCATGTGGGAATCTCCCTGGCTGGCTGGGATTGAATCCGCACTGCAGAGTCTGTTGACAGCTTCATAGCGCTGTGCTCAACCCTCTGCGCCACCGGGGAAGCCCCAGATTTTGATTTTTACTTTATTATAATTAGTCTTTTTCCTGGTCCCTTATTTAGGTTTTCTAAATTCCTGCCCTGAGTGAGACCATCCGGTATTTTCTTTTTCTTTCTGGCTTATTTTGCTGAGCAGGATCCCTTCCAGCGCCATCGAGCTTCCTCCCCACTGTGATCCCCTTTGGACCCGGCCCCCTCTCTTCCCCATTGCCTACCACAGTGACCCCTAAAATGCTCCTGGGGAATAGTTTGAAGAGTGCTGGCATATTTGGTCGAGTGGGGCTTGAACAAGTACTGACCTTAAGGGACCTCAGAGCCCCTCATGTCCTTTTCAGAATGACAACAAGCGCGGGCCCTGTAAAGACACTCTCGGCTCATCTTCATCCTTTTTCATCGCTAAGAAATTTGGAAATGGGCTTTTTCTCCGAACTATGTAAATGAGCACTTCTCTTTTTAAAGCTCATCTGTGTCCAACATTGGGAAAGATTTGAGTTTTTGTTTTTGAAAATAATGTTAGTTATGCTCGCTGAGCTGGTCATGTTTTAACTTTTCCTCCAAAGATCAATAGAAAGAATAGAAGCCCTATAAAATGGAGTGTGTGTGTGTGTGTGTGTGTGTGTGTGTGTGTGTGTGTGTGTGCGCGCGCGTGTGTTGGGTTCTTTTGCATCCATGTATCTCCTCCTAAATCTCCCCAGAGGAGATTTCAGGAAAGAAATGTTAGCTTGCCCAGAAGACTTTCTCTTACTCATGACTTTAAGTCACCTCTTCACCTGGGCTGCTGCCTCCCATTTGCTGCCTCCCTAACTCTCTCTCTTGAGTAATATGATGAGATCTCACTAGCAGTGAATGCTTCCTAGAATGTGTTTTGGGTGGGAAATGTGTGAGTGTACTTTTATAATATAATTCTGGCTAGTCCCAAGCTGAGCTCTCTGTTTTGGACCATTGATTCATATCATTTTCCTTTTGCCAGTACTACATTCTCTTGATTATTGTAGCTTAATAGTAAGCCTTGAAATCAGGTAACTCTATATTTTCCAAAAGTGTTTTAACTATTTGAGTGTTTTTTTGTCTTTCTCAATAGATTTTAGAACCAGGTTATTAGTATGCTTGCTGGGATAGTGATTGCATTTGCATTGCATATGTGATTATATGGAAGAAATTGAGACTCTCAACATTATTGAGTGTTCTAACCATGAACATAATACTTCTCAACTCTTATAACTGGTATTGCTTTATTAAATTTCACTTTCCAGTTACTCATTGTTAATATGTAAAAATGTGATTGATTTTAGTATGTGCATTGTGAACTTGCTAGGTCACTTTTTAATTCTAGAAGATGTTTTGTAGTTTTCTTGGGATTTTCTACGTAGACAATCATAATGACTAGTTTTATTTCTTCCTTTCCAATCTATGTGCCTTTTATTGCTGAAGAGAATGGATATTTTTGCCTTGTTGTAGGTCTTGGGAAGTAAAGACTCATACTTTCATCATTAAATATACTTGCTGGGTGCAAAGATGCTCTTTGCCAGGTTAAGAAACATTCCCTCTCTTCATAGTTGGATGTTGATTCTTGCCAAATGCTTTTTCTGTATTTATTGAGATGATCATATGATTTGTCTTATTTAGTATTTAAGATAGTGTACTATATTCAGTGATTTATTTTTTATTTTTTATTTTTTTTGCATAGTTAGCCATTGCATTCCTGGCATGAACCCTACTTGGTCATGTTAAATTGTCCTTTTTAAAAAATGTTGTTGGGTTTGATTTACTAACATTTTATTGAAGATTTTGCAACTATATTCATGAAGGTTATTGTAATATCTTTGGTTTTGGCATTTAGGTAATGCTGACCTTTTAGGATGGGTTGGTAAGTAGTCCCGTCCCCCTCTTATGTAAGAGATTGTATAGAAGTGGGTAATATTTCCTCCTTAAAATATTTGATGGATTTCTCCAGTGATACTGTCTTTGCCTGGTGTTTTCTTTTTTGGAAAGTTTAAAAGTACACAGTTAATTTCTTTAAGAAATATAGAACTAATCAAATTATCTATTTCTTTTTGATTGAGTTTTATTCATTTGTGTGTTTCAAGGAATTGATTTACTTAATTTGAAGTTGTTGAGCTTGTGGGCATGGAGCTATTAGTAGTATTCCTTATTGTTATTGTCCATGGGTCAGTAGTAATATCCTGTCTTTAATTTCTAATATTAGTAATTTATATCTTCTTTCTTTCAAAGAGCAATCAATTTTATTCATTCTTTCAAAGAACCGACTTTCGATTTCATTGATTTTTCTCTTGTTTTCCTGTTTTCCATGTCAATTAAACTTTCAAAATTTATTTTCTGCTCTTTACTGTTTTCTTCATTTGCTTGCTTGTGTTTAACTTACTCATATTTCTCTCATTTTATAAGGTGGAAACTTAGGTTACTTGATTTTATATCTTCTAATGTAAGCATTTGATGCTTCAAATTTCTCTTTAAGTGTTGATTTAGCTGCCTTTCAGAAATTTTGATATGCTTTGCTTTTATTCTTGTTCATTTCCCTAGACACTTCCTCTTAGACCAATGGGTTATTTTCAACTGTACTATTTGCGTATACATATTTAGGATGTTCAAAATACCTTTTTTTATTTTTTTAAAAGATTTATTTATTTTTATACAAGAACCGGGGTATAGGCCAGATGCGTGGGAGAGTGAGAGGATTCACCAGAGACAGAGCGGGGAACAGAACAGGCAGAAGGACCAAAATAGACTGCTGAGGGGAGCAGCGGGAGAGACAGGAGAGGTCTGCTGCGCCATGTGGGACCCTCGCCGGCCAGCCAGGATCGAACCTGCGCTGCAGAGGCTGCGGACAGTTTCACAGTGCGGTGCTCAACGGCCTGCGCCACCAGGGAGGCCCCTCAAATACCCTTTTTATTATTGACTTCTATTTTAATCCTTTATGGTGCAGAACATTATTATATCCATTGTGATCAGCACAGAGAAATGGATATCCTCAAACATTGCTTTTTTAGTGTGGGAATGTACATTGGTTCAGCTTCTTTGGAGGACTTTAGCACTACCCGCTGAGGTTAAAAAAAAACAAAAACAAAAACTTGCCTTCTAGGCAGCGCCCTAGAGAAATGGACAAATAGTATGTACAGGGAGCTTTATGCAGAAATGCCTATGAGAGGTTGAAGTAGCACAATATTGGAAGCAACGTAAAGGTCAAGCAGTGGAGCTTTCTCCCTGTTCTGTGAGCTCAGTGGTACATAACAAAATGGGTAAATGTCCTAGGTGTATTATGACCAAAAGGTACAGCGGCATAAACAACACAGTACCACTCAGGCACTCACATAAAACACAAGGTAAGTTCCTCTGGACTGTTTCTGTATTTGCGTGTAGAAGAGTATATAGAAGCAAGGTCTGAAAGGGTGCCCACCTACTGTGGTTTCCCCGGGGAAGTCAAAGGACCTTGGGATGGTAGAGAGTGTAAAAGTTACATAATTAAAAATGAAGCCAGCTCATGTGTAGACTGACCCACCCGCTCCCAGACAGCCACGTGACTTCTCCCTCATGCTTGGGCAGGGCAGGAAGGCATGCAGGGTCACACCTGTATTTAGCCCTAGCAACAGAGCTGTGGAAAGCATGACAGCTCTGGGTGAAACGGGGAGCCTTGAACTGCCTGTCACCCTGCAGCAGGGAGGCCTTCAAGCTCTTTGCTGCCTGCCTTTGGGAAGGCAGCTTTGTTTCATTCAGCTCCAGGGAGGAATCCAGAGGTTACGCCATGTGAGTGCAGTTGTAGTTGTTCACCTCTTCTGGGTCACTTGCATCCTCTCTTCTGTTCAGAACACTAGGTCGGGTCTGGTCTGTATGAGTTTTTGTTTGTAACCTTTTTGTTGGTGGCACAGTATCTCTGTATTTCACGTTATTTATTCAGCAACCTTCTTGGCAACGAGGGCTGAACTTGGGCGGGCTAGCTCAGCAGTTTGTTGGTGGGAGTGAGGCAGCCACAGACCTGGAGCCAGGCTGGGGCTGGGTCATGTACAGAGGCCAGCTGATCAAAGCCAGATCCACATGCCTGCACCCGAGCTCACGACAGTGCTGACACGCTCCTCTCCCCCCAGTTAGTTCATCTACATGCCTCGCGGCCAGGAGCCCTCAAAAGGGACTTGCTGCTCTTTTCCTATTTAAGCCTTCAGTTTTATTACTGTCATTAAACGAAATGTGGTACAGAAAAGCAATATCAAGATTAGACACAAGGATCAAAGTTTTTAAGAGCTTTAATTAATTTTTTGGGATAATTCCATGTGGAAGTTAAGTTCCTTAGGGAGTCCCCTCTGGCAGAGTTGAAGACGGAGCTATGACTAAGTGCCATCAGCTTGCTGCTGCCTCACTGACGTCCCCTCCCTTATTAAATCATAGCCCTGCCGCGTCCTGGTCCACACAGATCCTCAGCACTGGAGCAGACAACTACACTTCAATAATCGGACATTATCTGTCTAGACCTAAATGGCATCTTTTATAGTTTTTAAAAGGAGCTCAATATGACTCACCCTCAAAATCTGTAGAAGCCATGTGCCTTGAGGGATATAATAAATGGATTGTTTTCTCTACATTGCACAGGGGGAAAACGGACCAAAAGAGAATTTTAATAGGTCAGTGGGAAACACATTCTCTTTTTTGTGATGGTTCAGATCACCCGTTTGTTCATTCATTCGTTCATCATTCCTTGTACGGACACCGGAGGACCCCTGTGCAGTCTGCATTGCACTGGGAACCGGGGCACAGGGATAAACAGGTTTCTGTTTCATGGAGCCTCACAGCCTAGACCTTAGCCAAAGATGCATGCAGATAGCAAACATAAAAGGAACAGAGATAAGCATTCCACACAGACACATGTGGTGATATGAAGGCGAGGGTGGCGAGGGTGGCGAGGGTGGCGTCCTGACCTCCTCTGAAGGGGCAGATAAGGCTGCCCTGACATTCTGACTTTGGGGCTGAACCCTCAAGGATGAACAAGGATTACTGAGAGTCGGGACCCCACCTAAGGAAAGGGCAAATGGGCATGCTGGGAGGGAGGAACCTGGAGTGGGGGTAGCTGGAATCAGAGCATGGAGACATGTGACTAAGAGACTGCTGGGAAAGAAGGTCCGGCCTCCTTGCAGGGGTGAGGAGCCGTGCTGAGGACTTGAGCCTTTGTCCTGAGGACAGAGAAGCGCCATGGAGAGGTTTCATGCTGAGAGATGGCATGTTCAGAATTGCAAGTGGCAAAGATGACTGTGGGTGCAGTTGGGGGATGGTGGGCCCTTCCAGGGGTGCGGGTGTGGATGGCCAGTTCCCACTGCCTAATTGCCCAGGGAGCCATGGAAGCAGCACTGGGAGTGGGTAGAGCACTGGAGAGGAGCGCACTTGGGGCAGGAGGAGTGTACCGGGTGACTGGCATCCTCCAGGTGCTACTCTGCCTTGGGGAACAGATCTGGAACATTGCAGTAGGTGGGAACTTGGGGGGTGGAGGACGGGAAACAGTCATCATGGATTCAGTTCTGGAGCTGTTGCTTTTAGCTCTTGAGGCACCAAGCATAAGAGTCCTGATGTCTGATGTGGTTATTCTTCTTCCTGTCCTTACCCTGAAGTATTTCTCAAGTCTGGGAAGATAAATGAGTCATAGCTCAAGTGAGCAATTTAGTGTTCTTGGTGACAATAAGACATAATGAAGATCCATTTCACCTTCAGTAAAATAGAAAAAGTTTTTAACTTGATCTTAAAAAACGCCACCACCATCAACTCTCCGTCTTCCTCTCTGCCTGTTGCCCGTGCAGGCCAATTACACTGACCCCCAGAGCAAGCTGCGCTTCAGCACCATTGAGGAGTTTTCCTACATTCGGAGGCTGCCATCCGACGTCGTCACTGGCTACCTGGCCCTGAGAAAGGCCACGAGCATCGTTCCCTGAGCTGGGGAAAACGGAGAGCAAGTGGGAAACTGTTTCAAAGACAGACTTTGGACTCATGATTTTGTTTCATGGAAACAAACTCATTCTGTTGTCAATCTGGAAATGTCAGCGCTGTGCCTTGGAAAGAAGGTTTGGCTTTCATTTGAGGGTTTTTTTCCCCTGTGTTTTTCCTCCAAGTGTGATATTTCCTGTTGAATTAAATTATACTTCAGTTGTTGCCTCAAATAAAGATGTTTGACAAGAAAATAGAAAATTGTGCTTTTAGTTTAACCCAAGTAAGTCCCCAAACTTTGACTTCGAAGTTTTGAACTCTTCTAACATGTTTAAAAACTCTTCGGTGAATCCTGACAATGGGACTGGATTATTCCTGAACCCCGTAACTCCCCCTTTAGAGCATGTCGGTCTTTCTCTTTGATCAGAAGGCTTGGAGGAGGCCCAAAGCTGGGGCTGGAGAAGAAAGAGCTGGGTAACCCACCCTATCTCCCTGGCCAGTCCTCACCCTGGGCCACAGCCTCCAAATAAGCCTCCAGAACCTTGGCGCATGCCTGTCATTTAAGCCACCCAGTTTGTGGTCTTCCATCGTAGCCTCCTGAGCTGACCCCATTTCTGGAGGTGCGGACCACAAACATTGACGCTCCTCCCAAGAAGGGCTTTTGTCTTGGTACAGGATGTTGGCGCTTTGACGGAAACCTGCTCCAGGAAGGTCTTGCTTCCTCAGCCTATGAGAAAAGGAAGCACTCCTGTGTCAGGAGGAGGAGGGCCGCTCTGAGCCACATTCCCGTATCTCTGAGGCGGACAGGGGGATCAGACCCTTCTGGGTCAGAGCTGTTCTGAACTGGGTTAGATGCCCAGAAACCTTTTCTTTCTTAGGGAAAGCCCCTCCTGCCTCTTTCCAGGCTTAGAGAAAAGCCAAGCAAAGCTGAGTGTCATCTGGGAGAGCAGCCTGCTGGGCAGGTGGCAGCTGCCCGGAACTTGGCTTCCTTTTCTCCCTGTGTCATTCAGCACCTCCCCAATAACTAGTGGTGAGAGTGAGAGTGATGTAAGGCTTCTCCCTCACCCCCCAAAATGAGACTGAAGCAGTCATCACGAGAGGTGACTTTGGTGCAGGGTTTCTCAAACCAGAACGACTTCCAGAATCTTCTGGAATAAGGCCCCACTGTAAAACCAGAAGGGCCCCCTACCCCCAGAGAGTCTGATCTACTGGATTCGGGGTGGGGCCCGAGAATTTGCATTTCTAACAAATGATACTGATGTTACTGTTCTAGGACCTCACTTTGAAACCCGTTGCTAGCTTCGAAATTCTCAGAAGGACAGTGGCTGCTGTCCTTGGGTTCCATCCTCCCTCCTCCACTTGCTGCTAGCAGCCAACCTAGGAACATCCCCAGTTTCCCTTTTAATGGAAACTGAGTAAGTGAGCCAAGGGCCTTTCCTGCTTCACTTACACCTATACCAAGAAAACTTGGGGCATGTCTACTTTGTTTCATGAAGCCCCCCCTGCATTTAGTAGTGCCCAGAAGCCTGTCCAGCACTGACTGCTGGGTACCCCCTTGTGCCTGGGCCTGGGAGAAGAGCAGGTCTCTGCCCTGCAACCAGCCACCATGCCGTTGCTCCGCTCAGGGTTCCTGGTGTGTGTGTGTGTGTGTGTGTGTGTGTGTGTGTGTGTGTGTCTACTCTGTCAGAATCACCTGGTGCCTGTGAAAATGCAAATTCTAGGGCCTCACTCTAGACCTGACTACACAGGGAATAGGGCCCAGGCATCTGCATTTGACAAACATCAGAGTGTGACCAGCACACACAAGTGTGAGAAGCACCACCTTCTACAGGCAGAAGGGAGGGACGTGTGACAGACCCCTTGTTCTTTCTTTTCTGGTTTCCTTTCAGGGTGTCCTCGCAGCCTCTTTTCCCCAGAGAACTAGGAGTTCTAAAGGTCAGGTCTGTCCTTTCACCCCAAGCAACAGCGATCTGAGCTGAACCAAACTAAGCTTTAACCTGTGAATAGTTCCAATAATGAGTTCTCTTACAGGCTGTGGAATAAGTGGGTAATTTTGTGCTGAAAAAGCCCCACAGTCCTTGCCCGTCCCAGTGGTTCACAGCCCTGGCTACACATTAGCATCACCTGTATTTGGAGGGGCTAAGAGTGAGGGGGGGGGGCTTGATGCAAAACTACCCAGAGATTCTGATTCAACTGGGGCCTGAGCATAGTAGCTTTTAAGCTTCCCAGAGGATTATAATGTGCAGCCAGTGTTGAGAACCCTTTTGCTGTAACTCCAGGGAGACTGTTTCACCCGGGGTATGTTTTCTTCACAAATCAACTGGCTCTTCCACCCAGGGCCATGGGGCGGCTTGGAAGGTTGTGTGTGTGTACTTGAGTGTGAGATTCCTTTTCACAAAGCATTCCAGCACTGGAGTTGGAAACACAAATGTCTCTGTAGATTCCTCCCTCTCCCATCTCTATCCACCTCATTCTATAGTCCGTGGTCCCCTCTTCATCTTTCACGTTATCCTTCCTCTTTCATTTAACTCAGATTTTCCTCGACTTCAGAGCACATTATCTCCTACCTACATGCTTTCAATGTCTCCTAAATGCTCCTTCTGATAGTCTGAAATCTCCCTTCTGAGTTCCACCCTGCCCTAGGAAGGCCTTTCAGCAACTTTGTATGAGAACTAACTTTATCTGTCATACATGTCCTCTGGTGATTCATTTCCAAATCATTGTAATTCTGGTCTGTAAGATCCGGAGGATCTGGGCCTACCTGTTGGCTCAAGGGGTCAAGACACAACCTATGAAGCTACCCGCAGCCACTGCAGCACAAGATCAATACCCGGCCAGGGAGAAACCCACATGGCACAGCAGACCTCTCCTGACTCACCCGCTGCTCCCGTCAGCAGTGTATTTTGGTCAGTTTCCCCTTTCTGTTCCCCGCTCTGTCTCTGGTAAATTCTTTCACTCCCAGCACCTCTGGCCTGTACCCCGGTTCTTGTATGCATAAATAAATAAATCTTAAAAAAATTAAAAATAAAATAATAATTAAAAAAAGATCCAGAGGACCTACTCAGACCCTTAAAAGAAAAAAAAAATTGAGAAATCAGATTGTTTTCATAAGACCAGCTGAAGTCCAATCTGCTCAATCTGGAGTTTGATTCTTTCCTAATATCTGATAAGTGTCTTCCCTTTAAAAGAAGGAGAGCAATCCATGATTGGGCATAGTTTAAAGCTACCTGTAATGTTAGAGAAATGCTTCCCAGAACTGGGGGCATTCTGTGTGCATGAATGGGACACATTGGTGTCCCTCTTCCAAATTAAAGCCTACATCCATCCAGATTTCAAAAGTGTTTAATAATGGAGCCAAATGTGTTTTTAATGGGGAATCTCTCATTTCTAAATCCATGTCCATTGGAAAGAGATATCACACACATGATGTTCTTTCCAGTGACTTATAACTGAGTTGGGAGTGTTTCACTTAGGAAAAAGAAAGGGTAAGGAAAGAAACTGCTGGAACATGGAGTAAAGAAATGTGACTCATGGGACAGATATCTTGGGAAGAGATCAAACTCAATGTCTCCTAATAAATGCATGAAATGATCATTGTTATTTAAAGTAATGTTCTATCTGGTGGGAATGGGTGAACCTAATTTGATTCCTGATTCAAATAAAACAACTTCAAACATTTTGAGACAATTGAAAAATCTGACATTTGATGATATTTAGAAACTTTTATGCATACTTTTAGTTATAATGGCATAATGCTAAAAGTAAAGTTTCATATCTTGTGGAGACATACACTGAAATATTTATGGAAGGAATGATATTATATCTGGGATTTGCTTCAGGAGAATATGGGAGAGAGGAAGTGAATGGGAGTAGTGTTGAAACAAGATTGGCTAGGATTCAGTAATTATTGGACCTGAGTGATAGGGTACATAGAGGTTCATTATATAATTCTACTTTCCCATGTGTTTGATTTCTCCACAGTAAAAAGTAAAGAGAATATGAAGTATTTATTGCAAAAATTTTTGCCTAACATTGGTGGTTTGCCTTAGCTTGGAGTGGGTTGTGATCCTGGAATTTTGAGAAATGCTGCCTGAATGGTGTGAGGGAGTGTCCAGTTCCTGAAGCATTTCACAAAGAACAGGTTGAAAGAAAAGAACAACAGAGCAGGTAAATTTGTCATGTAAATGTTCTTAATCAGGCCTTCATTGTGTGTTTGGAGAGCAGTAAGAGCCAGGGGGTAGGAAAACCAAAGTCATCAGCTTCAAGTTTGTCCTGAGGTATAAATAAATTATGCTAGTATGAGTTTGGGATGAATTTGAATGTCTACGTATGGGTTGATCAATTTCTTGGTAGAATTAGCAATATTTATACATCTATAGAGAAGTAAATGAGATTGTTAACAGTGTGATATCCATAGAAAAGGGGGAGATTCCAGGTTCCCTGCCCCACCCAAGGGAGGGTGTTACTTAGGAGGGAGGAGATCAAGAAGAGGGCCTAGAGGAGGCACATGGAACTGAGAGACATGTGAAGGAGCTGCACTTGCTTCTCAGCTTTGGGCTTGTACCAGAGACTTGGGGTCCATGGAAGGAGACACTTGAAAGAGACAGAGATGTGGGTGAGAGATCCATGGGGAGGCTGACGATGGCAGCCTTTATCTTGACTTGGATTTTGATTTTGCTCTCTTCCTTCTAGATTTGCCTGACTCTTTCTGCCCCTTTCATATGGGTCCCCACCAGTAGGTTCCTTAGACTTGTGGCAAGCTTTTGGGCCTCAGCAGTCCTGCTTTGGGCCAATGCTGTTTGGCTGGACATTTACCCCTGAGGGGATCAGTAATTTTGGGTGTTTAATTAGAAACTGTTTTAACTACATTTTTTCCCTCTTCTTTTTATTACACACTGATTGTATTAAAGTTGTTTTCTATTGAAGGTCTTATCACTAGAATATGTTCATCTTTATGCAGCAGATGGCTGATACTTTTAGAGCAGGCAGGTTTGGGCGTCTTGGGGTGCCCTTCACCCTGCCCTATAACAAGATCTTCAAAGAACGAAGGACCCATGGACAAATTGTTTTGGTTCAAGGAATTGCTTTTTCTGAATTTCACCTGGGTTCCTGCTTTTGTGACTACATTAAGGAATGACAGTGAAAGAGGTGAGGAGATACAACCCTACAAAATTTCCTATTGCATCTGTTGCAGAAATACCACGCTATAGCCCCCCACTCTCCTGCAGGTTGTGCTTCCTGGTTTGGCACTCAGACGTGGAGCCTGATAGCCTTGGTT